TTATTATTACACTGAATGGGGAAAGGAAATGTAAGCATTTTAGAGGTTTTATTTGTTTCTTTGTTTTCCTTGGGAAAAAAAAGTTGGAGATGTGGATTTTAACATGAAACTTCCTGTCCATATATATATATCTTTTATCACCAACATTGTTTTCTGTGTGAATGGGTGGACTTCACTCGTGTGTGTGACATAGACTAGCTTTTCTCTGAAGAAGCCAATGACCTCCAAGTTCAGTGGCTTTAAAGCCATCAAACACTGCTTCTTGCCAGTGCCACTTGTTCATGTAGGTCATCAGGGTTTCTGCTCTCAGAATGTTGCAGGGACCCAGAGATGCTTTATCCTAACCTCACACTTAGTATAGCTACGGTAGACAGAGAGATCATGAGACTCTCAGGCTAATACTTAAGCCTTCTCAAAAGAACTAACAGAAGCCAGTTGGGCTCGTATTTCACTGGTCAAAGACAGTAACAACAGTCTCTTCTAATGAAACTGAGGAACTGTAGCTCTTGCATGGGTTGAGAGGAGAACTGAAATACTTAAGAGTAACTCCAATGGCCATCACAACATGCTTGCTTTTGTTTTAAGTCTTTAAAACATTTTCATACAATACATATTGATCATATTTATATATTATCCCCTCCATAATTCTTCCCAAATATTTCCCACTTCCCTACCAACCCAGCCTTGTGCTCTCTCTTTCTCTCCACCCCCCCCCCCAATGAAAATGAAATAAAACAAAAAAACAAAAAATACAAGAAGACAGGAAAATAGTAGTTGTGGTAGAGAGAATGAAATAAAAGGCCCACAAAAAAACAGAGTTCGTTTTATGTTGGCTATCTGCTCCTGAGCTTGAGCCTGCCCTGAAGTGTGGTAGATATACCCAGTGACACTCCACTGGAGAAAACATCTTTCCCATTTCTCAATAGGTATCAATCGCAGAGTTTCTTGGTTAGGGGTGGGACTTTGTGTCCACTTCACCTTCTCCATGCTGGAGATGTTTTGATTGTGTAGGACTTGAATTTGCTACCACAGTCTCTGTGAGCTCCTGCGTGCATCAGTCCTGTTTGTATCTCAGTGTTGCTGTTTCCTTGAGTCATCCAGCATCCCTGGCTCTTACAATATTTCTACCTTTCTACCTCCTCTTCTGCATTGATCCCTGAGCCTTGAGGCGAGGGATTTGGTGAAGACCTTCCATTTAAGATAGGATGTTTCAAAGTCTCTTACTCTTTATACATTGTCCAGTTATGGATCTCTGGTAATTTCCATTCAAGAAGAAGCTGCTCTGATGAGGACTGAGTAAGACACTGAGCTATAGATATAGCAATAAGTCATTAGGAGTGATTTTATGTTCCTTTAGCAGAATAATAATAGTAGGTTTCCCCTAAGCCCCATGACCTATTTAGTCTTAGGTTCTCACCCACTTTTGCTGTTTCAGATATGGATTCCATCTCATGGATCAGGGTTGAAATTTACTCTAAATATCTGGTTGATTACACCCATGACATTGGTGCCACAATTACACCAGTGTATCTTGCAGACACATTGCTGTTGCATGTCACGAGGTTTGTAGCTATGTGATGGTGATGATTACTTTTCCTCTCCAGTAGTGCACAGAATACCTTTCTAGACCACAAACTGTCTGTAGGGCTAGGGCTTCTAATTAGGCATCAGCACAATTTCAAATTTTCTCTAAAGTAAAATCCAATACTTAAAGATGTCAGACAAAAAAGTCCATTAAAAAATTGTTAGGTTTTTGCAGGATTAAATTTGATTTATCTGGAAAAATTCACATTTTGCTTAATTTGAATTAATGACACTTATTTAAACTCCATCTGCCTGAACTTTGTAATAGTCTTTGCTGAAGTTTGGTTTATAAATGAGTATGCCTTCCAAAAACCACTGCTCATATATTTAAATCTGTGTTTATGTTATCCTGTGTCTTGCAATTTTTAACTTGTCTCATTAACTACAGTACAAGATAAGAATCTTGTCTTATTGATTCATACGTTTATGCTTGGCATTATAGAAAAGGATAATGTAATTAATGCTAATATGCTTGATGGGTTTATCAGTTAGTAGCTTATGAATCACTGAAATTAGGTATCTTGGCATTAGGAAATGTCACAGAAGTTGAAAACACTTCAGATAATATTTTGGGAGCTGCTTGTTGTGTTCTGTGGTGGATCTAGAAAGCCAGAGTTCAGACTGCCTCAATTTCAAGGTCAGCTCTGGCTTGCACTTGATGAATCACAGGGCAATCAGACCTTTTCAAATATCATTTTTCTGTGATGTTTTCACATGCTTTGTTTGGCTGTAAGATCTGGATGAATTTGAACTTTAAAACAATTAGGGAGCAAATACAAATGCTCGGGAGGGATTCTACTGCCCAAGGTTTTGCAAGGCCCCAAACAGTCTTCAAAATAAGCCCATCCTAGCTTTTCAGCACACGCCCTTCCTGGATGAGCAGAGAGAGGGTGACTCTCATCCTCATGAAATGCAAAGCACTTGGGGACAGCGACATGTGAGGACAGAGCTTGGCCCAGAAAGACGGTGTCTATAATTTCATGGCGGAATTATTTCCCACGGGGAAGGTTTCACGAACACAGTTACTCACTGGTCCGATCCCAACCATGCGAGTGTGTTTCCAGAATCAATCACCCTTAAGCGGTTCCACATGTGCTTGTAAATATTCATATACAGTCCTCTGTAACGGGGACCCTTGTCCTTCTGCTGAGAGCAAAGGTGCATGAGGGCGTGACACAATATTGGGAGTCTGCTTAAGGCAGCAGTTCTGAACCTGTGGGTTCCGCGACCCCTTTGGGGGTTCGCATATCAAAGCACATCAAATATCTTGCATATCAGATGTTTAACATCACAATTCATAACAATAGCAAAATTACAGTTATGAAATAGCAACATAATAATTTTATGGCTGGGGGGGGTCACCACAACCTGAGGAACTATATTAAATTGTCACAGCATTAGGAAGGTCATTCAGCTTTCGCCATGTGCCGACAGACTCCTTATTTGTAAAGTGAAGACAGACGGTCTCACAGATAAAAGGTCTAAGATTGTTGCAGAGAAGAAATGAAAGCGCAGGGCAACAGTTGTGGCACACTGTTATAGGGCTGTTGGGTGAAGCATTTGCCATGTTAGCATAAGGACCAGAGTTTGGATCCTTAGAACTTACATTAAGCATCTATAATCTCAGCACTGGAGATGTGGGGATAGGAGGACTCCCAAAAGTTCATGGGCAAGCTAAGTAAGACAAAGGCCAACACCCAGTCACATGCCCCCTGATATGTGTGCTCCTGGCCTCATATGTTAACACACACACACACACACACACACACACACACACACACACACACACAAATCAGCTACTGCCAATATTATTATTAAAGTCATCTTATCAGAATGGAAGGATATGAAGGTTATTGAATCCATGAATCTAGCTGCTCACTCAATAATTTAATACCTGCAGCAGCTTTCCCATCATGGAGTCTGGCTTTGAGACTTTCTCCCATTGAAGTAAATATTCAAAGGCCAATAGCTTTCACTGTTCATGATTACAGAGGACAAGTGTAGACCCTTCCCTCCCGACATCCTGTGGTGAGACTGAAAACATCTCAAGGCCCTGCTATTCCCTCATTTCCTTGGAACGTTTCTTGTCTTTCTCCTTCCCTTCAACACCAATGTTTTGGAAAGACTTGCCTATAGATGTGGTTTGAACTCTGCCCAATCCCTCTTTTCTCTTCAGCACCTGGAGTACAGAATGATTTGACAGCTTTGCCAACTGCAGTCTACAGGCTCCTGGAGTCCACAGTGAACAACAGAGAGAAAAAGTCAAATTGACCCCTTTTTGGAACTTTCTAGAATTGCCCCGTCACTGTACTGCTCTTAGCAAAATATTTATTATTTAACCCTTGCTAGACCATCTGTGAAACACACATTGGCATCTGTAGCTCTGCTTTACTGTTGAGGAAAATGAGTCTCTGAGATTCTAAATTGCCCAGCATCCTGTATTTTGAAAGATGTGGTGGGTGAGTCAGGATTTGTCATGGCCGTCTGTCTCCAACATCCCCACACTTCAGTGCCAGGCTTATGTCTAAACTTGGGTGACTGTGGCAAGTAGAGATAAACCATTAAACTGGTTAATATAGCTAGGCACCCTTTATGCAGAAGTTCTATTTGTAAAATTGAAAAGAAATACAAAACACAGCCTCCTCCTGAGGAGTTCAGTCTAACACACACCACAGGCATGGTCACACAATAAACTGACAACAGTAAAGCATGTTTCATAGAGAACATAACTCTTAGTTTTTCTCTTAAGATCATTTGTAGACATATGGAGGTGGCAATATAGGTATAAGAGCAGTTAGTGATAAAGAAATGTAGACATAACTGGACAGATGAAGGATTTTTCTGCATTTCTCTGTGTTCAAGCAGATATACAGAGATACTGTGTGCCTGAGGCATGAACATTGGGTGCAAGAAATGAGAGTCGGGGAAAAGGCAGGTTTGGAAAGAAAGAGTGGGTGGCTGGGTGGGGGACCTGGGGATCTAGCCCCAGTGATATAATGCTTGTCCTGTATCACAGCTCATTCCTCACCACTGTGTGAAGCAGATGTGAAGGGACTCTTTTCACTTGGGAGGTGGAAATTGAAGGACCGGACACTCAGTGTTGTCCTTAGCTACATAGTTAGTTCAAGGCTATCTACCCTATCTCAAGGGAAGGAGAGGGGGTCAGAGAGAAGAGAGGGAGAAATATCTTCCGTCGGCATACAGATAACTGAAATATAACTAAAGGAGAGCAATGTTGCAGGGAGACAGCTGCAACTGTGTAATTCTGGAGCCTTCCGTTAAAGTCACATAAATGATCTCAGACTGTAAGACAACCCACCAATGACATTAGTGTCCTCATAAAGACAGCCAGCCTATAAGCTTCAGCAAGACAACATCCTAAATGAGATGCCTTATCCCCTCTCTCTCCCCCACAGGCCGTGGGCTGTGACAGACAGCTGGGAAGTAATGCCAAGGAAGACAACTGCGGTGTCTGTGCAGGGGACGGCTCCACCTGCAGGCTGGTGAGGGGTCAGTCCAAGATACACCTGGCTCCTGAGAAAAGTAAGTTTTGAAACCCAGTTCTGTGTTGCCAGAGATTAGCCTGTGTTTTCCATTCTTACAAAACCAGTGTATTTCTACAGTTCCGTATTACCATAGAATAATCTGTGTTTTATGTTTTTACTGGAAACATTCCTAATGCAAAACTTGTATGGACGGAATTAACTTTGGCCTTTTTCAGAAAGTCAAATCTCTTTCCTTTTAAAAAGTATTATTATTTTTCAATTTTCTATTTTAAAGGAGCACAAAAAATGTGTTTACTTTGAAACCTTGCTATTTAAAAAATATTTGATAATCAATTATTAAATAGCCTAAAATATTTTTTCAGGTAAACTGGGTCATAATTTTATTTTATTTGTCTTCTCTTGGTTGTTAACAAGACAAGAAATGATATAATATTTACTTTATCTTTCATTTTTGGTTATCTAATGAAGCCATCTATCTACCTTCTCAGTTTTTAATTTTTACTGTTGTAAACTTCGTGTTATCAGGAATGCTAACCTTTAGCCTGTCACACCTACTTCAAATGTGATTTTCAGGTTGTTATTTGGCTTTGATTTTTGCTTGTATTGGGGAAGCAGTGTTTTTGAAACTGTGATTATTCAAGTGTTTTGTCTTCTCATCTCAGTAGATCTCCCTTTATTTTCAGGGCTCAACTGTATGCATTAGTGGCCAGCTAGTAAATAATTTAAGCTTTTCAGGATATAACATCTTTGTCCTGACCACTCAAAACCATTGTTCTATGAGAGCACCTACAATCAAACAAACATAGCCATGTTCCAATGAAACAATTTAAAATAAGTAGGCTGGTAGGCTGCAGGTTGAAGTTGGCCCTCGGGTAGGAGCCTGATCTGATTTTGAAGAAGAGAGAATACTCATACAAGTCTTCAGTCAATACTCCTATGGTTTTGTTTTCTACCTTTCTATTTTTGACATATTAATTCATATTTTATGCATTTTATGTGTCTGAATGTATATACATGTATGCCGAACCCATAGAGCGAACATGAGATCCTCTGGGACTAGGGTTACAAACATTTGTGAGCTGTCATGTGGAAACGAGGAACTGAACACAGGGTCTGCTACAAGGGCAGTAAGTGGTCTTACCACTGAGCTATTTCTTTATCCCCATTTCTGTTGTTTATTGTTTTCTATCTGTAAATCTTCTATCATGTTTGTGTCTGGTTGTTGTATAAAGTTGAGATCTTAGCTATTTCTCAGTTAAGGAGACTATTATAGGAATGAAAGAGAGGTGGAGGGGAAGGGGAAGGAGTGGAATACAAGAAGACAGGAAGCAGGGAGGTCAGGGAGCAGGGAGGACAGGGAGCAGGGAGGACAGGGAGCAGGGAGGACAGGTAAACAAAATCTCCCAAGAAGGGGAAATAGATATTTCATGTGTGGTATAACACTAGAGACAAACCTGCCATTTTGTTTGTATTTTATTTCCTGAGGTATCTATTTTGGTTTGGTTTGCTTTGGTTTGGTTGTTGAAACCCGGTTGAAACCTCCTGAGTACTAGAATTCTAGGCATGCTCCATCACATCAAACAAGCCAGGCTTCATTGTCCTGCTCATCTGCTACTCTAGGCTGAATGTACATGGAGAAGTAGATTAGATAAAGTGCTATTCAAGAGTTAACCCAAAAGCTGTCATCAGTGTGGTTTATACCCTGGATCAGGTGGAATCATCAAAACAATTTAAACACTGGAGTGACTTGAGAGAACTCACAGATCACCTTCAAGGACAACCCAGAAGTGTGGAGTTCTTTTAAACACCCAAGGGCCTTGGTCTGAGGGAGTGTGATAGGAGATGGTGAGGATGGGATGCTTAAAAAGATACTCAGGAGGAATTCCAGGATCAGAGTTAAGGTTCTTTTGAATAAATACTACAGCAAGCGACAGAATGAAGCAACATCTTCGGCTCGGGCAGTTTGTTACGCTCACTTCTCTTCTGAGGTTAGGCATCCACAGGAAAGAGGCATCAATCAAGGGCAAGAGCCCATCTCCCTGCTTATCTTTCTCTCAAGAATCTTGGCTCTCTGGATGGTCAACCCCTTCACACCCTTCTAATGCTTTCCAACGGCTGTTGGATGTATTTTGTTTGTGGCTAGAGGGTGGTTAGAAACATACCAGCCCATCATGGCTGGTTGGAAATGCCCTTACTAGTGGGACTCAGTCATGAATATAGGTGGGTCCACCCAAAGAAAGCATATAGAACATGAGAAAGCCATGGATTGCACCTTAGGAACTCCAACATTTAATCAGAGAAGTGGAGTGAGTAGGTGAACACAGAACTTAGCAAGAACAGAGTCACGGAAGCCACAGGAACTGGTCATCTCTAGGAAGTCAGATGCTTTTGTGAAGATGGCTGGAATCCAGGACTTATTCCCCACCCCCACGTCTGGCACTTTGAAGATGACCTGTAGTATTCACAAGAGTGGCATCAGTGAATTTCAGATATGCAAGCTTGATCACAGTGAGCTGATGAGGGAAGAGAAGGTGAGAATGGTTGGAGGAGTTTTCCAAGGGGAAGGAGAGAATAAATCCAAGGAACAACTGGAAAACATGATGGAAAATGGTGTGTGTTTCATCCTCTTGGCTCTGTTTGATTCTTCACTAGGTGGAAGAGTTGGCCACTGAGAATAAGGACAGTGAGATGTGCTCACTAGGGGGAATGGAGATAGGACTCACTAATGATAGTAAAAAGATAGAGGGATCATGATAAAAGCCAGGTAATGTTGGAAACTATGAATTCATGGAGATTCCAGTTCAAGGACTTCAGGAAGTCGGTGACTCTGACAGCTAGTGTGTCAACAGAAATGTACATATTCCAAATCTCATGAAACCCAGATTATAAGCTTCAGAGTTACATGTGTCCTCCGAGAAGTCTGGACTGATGGGTCAAGGCTGGGGAAGCTGCTCTCCTCTGCTCTGTGATGTCTTCCAGGACTCCAGCTTTTTTCTCTCCACATCCTGGGATTGTGAATTTGTTTTTGTGGTTACAGAGTTGAATGAGTTAGATATCACATCCACCTCCCAGATAAAAAGAGCTGGTAGTAGAGAGTTTCTTTCAGTTCTGTGCCCTTTATTCAGAAAGAGAAGTCCTCCCTTAGGGCTTCTTTGTCTCTGGCCAGAACTGTAGCCTGTGACACTATTGCTTTTGAGGGGATAGAAACCAAGTGCTAAGCATCCCACCCATCATTATCACTGGTACCAAGAGGACATAATTCTTCATGATTATCCAAGTTCTCTTCAAATTCATGATGTTATTTCATTTCACTAGGTCTCCTGCATTCCAACTTTGATGTGGTCAAACCCATTCTACAAAGACTAATCCTAGAAAATAGCTTAAGAAAGGTTTTTAAGAGAGCTGCTGATGGGTGTTGGGGAAGGATCACACAAGAATGGCCTGGAGGAGAAAGCAAAGCTGGAGAAATAACACAGATCAGGCAGTTTGAAGACACAGGTTGCCCTGTGAAGGGCTGACTCAGTAAGGCTCCTGATAAGGGCACTAGCACAACAAAACAGGCAGTTTAGCTAGGTGTGCTGGGAAGCACCTAGAGCGAGGGCTGGCCTTTAAAGGCTTGCAGATTCACCAGAGAAGACTTCATTTTTTAGCACAGTCCAAAAAAATTAGAAAGCAATGCCATTCTGATTGAACCAGAACAGAAGCCAGTGGAACTGGGTCCTGAAATCATTTGTCTGGTTTTGTTTTTGTAGAAAGTGTGGACAAGAGATGCTGAATGGAAAGGGACTCCGGAGGAAGGGTTGTGTTAGCTTAAGGTGCCTGCCTAGCCGTGCATCATTCTTTGAATGTGTATGCAGTGTGTGTCCAAATCCCTGTGAGTGTGTACATCCAACTATGTGCATGTATGTGTGGAGGCCAGAGGTTGCCATTTAGTGTCTTCCTTGACTGCTTTTAGTGTTTGGGACAGGGTCTCTCTCTGAACCGGGGACTTACCAATTCATCTAGGCTGGCTGGCCAATGAACCCCAGATGTGCCTATCTGCATCTCCAAAGTGCTGAGAACACTGGCATGGGCCTCTATGCCTGGCTGGGTATCTGAACTAGGGTTCTCATACTTGTCTGGCAAATAGTTTATTGATTGAGCCATCTCGAAGGCCTTAGTTTCTCACTATTGATGAGGTCCTTCCTCTCCTCTCTCCGTCTCTCCCTCTAGGTCTAGATCTTCCTGCCTCTCCCCCATTCTTTCCTCCCTCTATTCTTTCTTCCCTCCCTCTTGCCCTCCTTCTCTCCTTTCCATTCTTCTTTCTCTCTCCTCTCTTGTCATTGACTGTCAGCTTTCGGAGCATAGAACCTTACAAGAATCTCTTGAAATAGTTGATTGCTGAAAAACAAAAAAACAAAACACTGAGTGTACAAAATTGGGTGGCTATGAGTGGGTAGACCTGGGAGGCATTGGTAGAGGGATGAATATGATGCAAATAACACTCATGAAATTCCCAAAGAAACTAATGAGACGTTTTCTTCAAGTAAAGTGTTTTCTCTCCAGAAAAATATGTATATGAATAAGCCCCAAAATTGTCATTCTGGTTTTCTTTTCTTCTCTTTTTCCATTTGTTTGTGTATGACATGTACATGTGCAGATACAAACACCCACCTGGGCACATGTATGCTGAGGCCAGGGGAGGAATTCATAAGTCCCGCTTCGTCACTATCATCCTTGTTCCCTTGTGCCGGGGTCACTCTCTGAGCCTGGAGCTTGCCATTTTGCCACTAGACTACCTGGCCAGCAAGCCTTGGAGATCTTCTTGCCCATTTGGGATTTAAGAACCCCAGAAAAGTCTAATGTTTTTGCTTAATTTCTGTACATAAAGGGAAGCCAGAGTGCTCAGGCAGACCCTTTGTGACAAGGAATGAGTGATGCAGCAAATGCTGGCATTTCCTCCACTTGGAAGCCCATGTGCCAAGGCTAAGGCTAAAGGTAGCATGCTTACATGAAAGCTCAGTGCTTCCTGTTCTTGATTCTTTCTCTTGGTGGCCC